CAATTTTTAAAAAGCTTATAAAATATAATTTTTTAAAGAATTTGACAAAAGATGACATACTTTTAATAAAGTTAGAGGAGTCAAATATTACCTCGTAATGGGAAGGCTACTTTTTGATAACATTTTGGATTATTGATTAGAAGGTGCTCCTAAAAAGAAAAGTAAGCGTCGAGCCCTGAATAATACTTGATTATCATATTATAATGCTTGACTGACTGATATTAAGAGTGTACTTTCAGATATTTAAAAAGCTGTACCATTTTACAAACATTATATATGTATAATATATATATATATATATATTTAGTATAGTATTTCAGTCTGGCGAGTAAACAAAAAAATATACTAGGCAATGGCGATTCAATTGCCAAGGTGTCCATAGAGGGTTGACTGTATAAAAACAGTTTGTGGTGCACTGTATTTGTTTTGTCCTATCGTATCTATCATATGTTGTTGCCTTATTAAAAAAATATGCTATACATTTAAAATACATATATTTGAATTATATAGTATATACTTATATATAAATACATTCATGAATGTTTTAATTTTAATTTTATAATAATACAAATAGCAATGTGTAACATTTGATCATATTTACTGCAACACATTTATTTGTTCCTCACAAAATAAAACAATATTGTTTTTTCACTAAATATTTGGATTTCTAAAATTATTGTGCACTGATTTTTCTAGAATAACTTTTGCTGCCGAAATATCCACTAACCTAATTTATGATACATTTTTGTCATAGATTATAAATATACATAGGCCTATATTTTTTCATGTTTATTTTATTTTTCTTTATAATTAAGTAGTCTGTATCTAGTAGATTGTGAAAGAATGATTATCAGTTCCACACACAGAAATATATAAATTCTACATTTATTTAAATGAGGGAAAAAAACTTCACTGGTATTGGATCGGTATCGGCCAATTCCGAACCCTAGGTATCGGAATCGGTATCGGAGGCGAAATAGGCGGATCGGAGCATCCCTACCTTTTACATATTGTAATATGTCCAAATTGTACGTTTTAGCATCAATCAAAACGTAAAAAAAATTATGTTATGTGCTTGTAAATGTTACATACTAATACCTATGTATAAACAATGAGATCAGGCTGGAACAGCACATTCCAGGGCCCCAGGCCCATTTGTATGCATAGGGAAGCTAGGCGGTCACCTGGGGCACCAATGAGCGCATGTACTACCACTACATTTTAGCAGGGTTGTGATAAAGAGTGGCACAGAAATCCTGAAATATGATTGCCGCCCCCACTGGATCCTCCAACATCATTGGATCAGAGCGCTGTCAATTACTGCCTGATTGTTGCATGCAAAGTTTGCATTTGAAGCACTCAACAACACTGTTAGATCAATGAGTAACGCTTTTTTTTTTGCCATGCAATAAAGCTAAGCTCAAAGGCCAATTTAAAATAATGGTACAAGTAAAAAGTGCACAAAATCAGTATTTTGTCTATGCAGTATTTGTGGCAGTTGAGAAATCATGCTGCAAAATTGCTCCAAAAGGTGTGCATTTTGCGCCAATGCATTGTTAAAGGATCAGCGTGTTGTGTAATATTCACATATAAAACTTTAACGGCCAATTAAAAAAATATTGGTATAGTAAATTCACAAGATCAATACATGCTTTATTAAACCGCTTTGTTAAATAGGAGCAGCGACATACACCTAGAGGGCAGAGCGTTGCGTCATTTAAATGAGAAGTTCACACGTCAATGAGTAACAAAGGAATAAGTAGCTGCATTCTGATTATTTTTATGTCACTTATCAAGCTTTTTATGTAGTTTGGCTTAATAAAGGGTTTTGTAGTTTTGACTGAAATAATAATGGAAAAAAACTGACACTTTAAATCAAACAACAACAAAATGGTAAAAAAACAAAAAAATAAAACCGATAAAGACAAAAAGTAGTCATTGATGTCCAAGCATGTATCTAAATCCAAATGTAATACAATTAATTTGGGGGTGGGCACCAAAAGGGATTTCGCCTAGGGCGTCAAAATGGCTAGAAACTGCCATGCAAGGCCCAGTTTATGCCGGGGCCCGTTTCTGATCATGACAGTGGACAAAGGTTTGCTACATTTTGATTGGATTTTGGCAGACTAACATAACCAAACTGTCCAACACCATCAGATAAAGATGTTAGGATAATGGCCAGACACCTCTTAGAGGGCAAGAGGATGATATCTGGTACCAAGCCCAGGAAGGACAGGACGTCTCATTGGTCAGAATGCAGTTTCTGCCCTTCACCCACCTAGAGACCATATATATATATATATATATATATGAAATACAAAATGTAATGCGTGTTGTAAAGATTGCGAGTAAAAACAAAAGAATAAGAAAAGCTTACAGCTGCATGAGTCGTGACGGTCACGTTAGCCTGATGGGACCCAGAAACGTAAAACGTAAGACATTACCCAGATTTGAAGACTACAGTAAGATTTAACTTCTACTGTTAATAAGATTTTGGTAGGCTACTATTAGATGGATAGCCTAAATGTCCTAATTCAGATGGGTTTTTTTTTTTTAATGGTATATCAAAAAGTGTATATTTTTTAAATGTGATTGTTGGTACATTTGACCAGTTTTTACCATGCGTTCAAAACAAAAATTAAAATAGGAAAAATATGCAATATGAAAATAACTGAAGACAAAATGTGTTTTACTGAGAAAAAACAAGATTTGGTTTTTAAAAGCCTTTTTCCAAAAGGTACATCTGGAAAAAGGGGGGTCGTCTTATAATCAGGGTCGTCTTATATTCGGGCCAATACACTATACGTATATATATATATATATATATATATATGTGTGTGTGTATGTGAAGAGTTTGGTTCCAAAACGTGCTAAACGCCATTTAAAAAAAAAAAGTTTCCGCCAAAATCAGTATTGTATCTGGTTGGTATTGAAGAGTCCCTTTTTAATTTTACGCAAAATGTGATATCCGCTGAGTAATACTGTCATGTTTTCTCCCTTTCTTTCCAAACGGTGACAAATGCCAGTCATCCTTTTCTGCAGAACGCGATACATTCACTCAACCAATCACAGTGCACCATTCCACGCCCTCTAGACAGTAATGGCGCCGCTTTGAATACATCCAGCATCCTAGTTTTCCTCATCTACTTTGTACTTTGTGATCAACAAACAAACAAAAAAAAAGTAAGGGCTGCACGATAAATCGCATGCAATTGTCACACGCATCTCGTCTGTAAAGCCAGTTCTGTGATCAGTAGTAAATCTGCTTCCTTTAATTACACAGAGCCTATCACTGACAAGCTATGCAATATTGCGTTCATAATCTCAGATGAATCGCATTCGATTATGAACGCGATATTGCGTAGCTTGTCAGTGTAAGTGTTTTTATTTATGCCATTAATGTTTTTGTTAATACATTACGAATGTAACATGGCAAAGATGAATGCACTTTTGGAAGTTGAATGTAAGGGAAATGTAATTTAGGAATTTCTGTGGTTTAATGTGATATTGTTGTTCATGTTCTTGTTCATAATGAAAATGTATTTTATTGTTGTAATTAATTTATAGCATTAACAAGATGACCCGTTGTATTCATTTTGGGAGCTTTGACTGATTGAATGTATTTTTAGTCCAGTGCCTGTATATAAGATTAGTATTGACCAATTTCAGTGGCTGTCATATGTGGATCAACTTACTATGTTGTGTGTTTTCAAAAGTTTCAATATGAAAACATAACTTTTATATTGATTCAATGGATTTATTGCATTTTGGGGGAAAAATAATCAATTTTTATAATAAATCTTTGAAAATCAAAATCTGGATTTTAATTTTTAATGTTATTATAATCTAAATATGCTATGTGAAAGTTTCAAACAGAAAATAGTGGTTTTCATCTTGCCACTTTCTTGGTAAAGAAAACACATTTTTACTCAAATTAATCAAAATGGATTTATAGCGTTTTGGAACCAAACTCTTCATATACCTTAAAATCATTAATATTTGACTGTAAATTATATTGGTCTGTGATATTCTAGATTTTAAATATTCTAGATTGCAGTTGGTAGAAGACATACCTTCAAGTTTCCAAGAACTATTTTCTTCTCTTATCTCTTTTTGGCTTTCATCGTGTTTTCTGTACTCAGAGCCTGCCGCTCTCCCTTTCCGTCTGACTGAACACTCAGATCTTCTATCTTCTTGATCCAGTGCTGACACCTGTTGTGTCTCCTTATATTTACTATGAGTGATTATTTCATCCACTTTTTTGAGTAATTGAGAGTGTTGTGCGTTTTGAAGTAGAAGACGTCCTCCTCCACATTCTTTAGATAATGGCTGAATTAACTCCTTTTCTTTTACAGATTTCAGTTCATCATCACATGTCTCATCATCAGTAGTCAGAATCACTGTGTGCTTCATCGCCTGCTCACCGAAGCGGCTCAGTAGAGACCGTAATTTTTTTATTTTATTCTTACTAAAATCCTTATGCTGCAGAACCAGTATGATCACATGAGGTTCTGGAGGAGAAAACTGTTTTTGTGATTGGAGCAGGTGAGTGATGACTGTGATGTTTCTCATCTCCACTTTTTGAATGAACTTCTCTACATCAGGTTGTGGTGTTTTCTTTCCAAACACGTTTTTATTTAAGATTAAGTTTCCCACTTTGTTGTTTTCGGATATATTCGTCCCCAGCAGGACAATCGTCAGATCACTCACTGAAACACAAAATATTGTCAAATGGGAGTTTTACAGTCTTCATTGTATAACATTGAATCAAACAAGCAACAACTGGTTTATGAGAACACAAATTCTAGAATTTACATGCAGACAGTATGTTTGATTGAATGATTTACAAACTTTATCCTGCTTCACATGCCATGCAACTTGTGCGTTCTCATAAATACTATGCTTTCACTAATGATACGTTTTTATTTATTTTTACTTACTGTCAGGACGATTCCAAGTTGGACTTTGTTTTCTCTTGCGTTCTACAAAATAAATAAATCAACAGTTGTTATGTATATATTCATTATTATGAATGAAAGGACAAAACACACATTAAGTAACAGATACAAAATTACTTTGTAATGTTTAAAACTGTTTGCATCTGTACTTGTTCTGTGCAGTATTTCTCTTTGGAAGTTGTATTTTGATTTGTGTAAGTAGTTTGTGTGTGACACTTTGTGGTGAAAACTATTATTACACTACTAAATAGAGCGCAACAGGAAGCACGTAAACCAGTAGCAGAAGATACTCGTTTTCTGTGATCTGCGTTTTGGGTGTCCGTCATTGTTTGCGGTCTAATCCTAGGAGTAGATACGACCGTAAGTTATACATTTCATATTGAAAACAACTGCAATAATGTTGTGTTAGTTTAATTAAAAGCTGGTTGTTATTAAGATGTTTAGAGACCGATGTTTAATTCTGGAATATAGAATCTGGCGGCTAATATGCTAATGAAGCTGCGCAATCCTTTTTTCTTCAAGCACATGTTCTTACCATAAATCTGTTGTTTGATTATGTAAGTGGATGTTTGTGAATGTGAAAATATCCATGATATTTGTAAATCACTTTGTAATTTGTATCTTTTATGTTTCTTTCAGTTTTACAGTAAAGTAAAGTGTTCATTGGCATTTGTGGGTAATTTAAGACCTTCTACTACACATGAAAATTTCATTGAACGTATCATTCCCTTAGCATTAATTGACCAACCACTGTCTCAAAGTACAGTTGTGTTGAAACTAGAGCCCGACTGATATAGGTTTTTTGGGGCCGATACGATACCGATATTTGGGAGTAAAAAGAGGCCATCATATCACCTTCTCGGTACATGTATAATGGTCAGTTTAAGAGATATTTTGTGTTGCTAAAATAAATATAAATAAAGTTATAAGCAAAACCAGCAGCATAAGATTTTCGTTTTTTTAAATTCACAATTATACACATTTATGGATCGTGACAAAAAACTGCAGGACATTTTGCGGAGAACTTTTAACAAAGTCCAATATGGTGTTGTCTATGCAAAAATGCATTTAAAAAGTAGTGCCCAGGCGTGGGAACGAAAATCACTTTCTAGCCACTTTTTCCTAGTTCACCTTATGGCCTATTATGCGTGATATCAGATGCTTCCGCAGATTAATAGCATTACTGTAGCATTTCACCTGAGCATTGCGAATCACGCGTATGGCCATGATAAGCGCTGAATGAATGACAGGCTTGCTGTTGTAACATTGCACAAGGTAAATAAGGGTGACATCTAGTGGAGAAGACTAATGATAAGATTCACGTTAATCAGATCTTATTTTAAATGTGTGCTGAAATAAATCCCGGAAAAGATCGATTCACAGCTTTTGAGAATCGATATCGAATCGACGTCACCTAAAAAAAACGATTCATCGAAAAATCTTTTTTTTTTTTTTGCCCACCCCTATTCTTCACACCCAAACGGAACTTTCAAAGGAAGGGGGCCCTAGATAATGGTTTCGTATTTGAAACAATTAGGTGAAGGTTGCAGGGCTGCGGGACACAGGACAGATAGGCTATTCATCCATTGTTAATTCGTTCCTACGACTTATTAATTTGTGGCCACTGTCCATGTTTCATTAATTTTGTTCCTTAAATAACCCATGATTTAACTAAAATGAGGGAACAAATTAATACATCCAACAAATTCTTAATTCATGGCCATGCAATCTTTAATTTCCCTTCCGCATGTTTACCACAGTAAGAGATGCGAAAACAGTGATAAAAAGTGAATGACAATAAAATAAACCTGCAAAATTAGAGGGTGAGGATTTAGGAGAAGAAACAATGCCTAAATATTATTGAATTTGTGGAAATTCGTGACCAAGAACAAAGCAGCATAAATGTAGGCTATATGGGCTCGAACGGCATCCAAAAGCACGG